TACATATATATATATATAATAATAATAATAAAATAAATCCGAGGGAATCAATTATCTTCAAATATACATTGCTCAATATCCTTATTTTAATATCTTGTTAAACAGTCTCTTTCAAACTGTTCAATTTAAGGATGTATGGCTCCTTATTCATCAGATGGAAACATAATGTGCTGATTACAAATTATCTTTATAAATACTCATAACATGTTGATTAATATTAAAAATTACATTATATAATATCATAAATATTGATAAGTTCCTCACTTACCCATATTGATTTGATTTATATGAACGATATATTATTAGCTGCTCCTTCCGACAAGATAGACATATTGAAAGTTTTTAACTCCTTAGATAAAAACTAAAGTTTACAATTGAAATAGAAAATAATAATCAATTAAACTTTTTGGATATAAAATTAATTAGAGAAGAACATTCAATTAAATTTAATCTATTCCATAAAGCTACATTCATAGGCAGATATCTTAATTGTAATTTACAACACCCATTGATTGATTGAGCATAAAAAAAGGAATAATTTATGAAATGATAGACAAAATTTTTTACTTACACATTCGGATTATCACGAAAAAAACTTCAAAAATAATATTAACATTTTATTAAATAATAGCTGTCCCATTCATATTTAACATGATTAATAAAAGAATTATATACACACACACACACACACACACACACACGCACGCACACACGCACGCACGCACGCCGACACACGCACGCACACGCACACACACACACACACCCACACACGCACGCACGCACGCACACACACACACACACACACACACACACACACACACACATACACACACACAGGATATTTGAAAAATAATAATGAATCTTTCGCATAGGGACAGAATGAACTAAACTGAGAAGAAAAGTTCTCTAATGTTTTGCAATTTTCGCAATTTAACAAGATATTAATTGCTAAAAATTACTGAAATTGATCTTCAATAATTTTGTAAAATGTTTTTCTAGACAATTTTCAATAATATTCAAAAAGTTTAATTTACAAGCTAGCTTACCCTGTTCTAAAAAAACTAAACGCTTACATCACAACTGCAAAAGATAAGCTGGCTAATATGTCAAAATGTAATATAGTAAGATCAGTTGTCGGGATTGCCACGTATATCAGTAAGATAAAAAGGCAACTTAAAACTAGAATTCAAAGATATTTAAAAGATTAAATTAATAAGAGATAAATATTAATAAAAGGAATGAATATTTGATCATAGACTTACAAAAAAATGTGAATTTAAATGGGAAAGCGTAAAAATCTTAGATAATGAATTATCATATATGAAGAGAATGATATCTGAAATATATCAAAAAACAAAAAGATAGGCTAAATAAACAAAGAAAATTTGTCGGACACATTTGTCTATCTTGGGTCGTCTATCTCTCACTTAAAAATTTCTACTGCTTCCCCTTCCCCTTTCTGCTACCCCTTCCAATGACGCATATCATTCAAAATAATAAATACTTAGTCTGTTATTGTTATTACAACCGATGATAAGAGACAAACTATAAATATAAATGTAAACGCTAAAGCTGATCTTCTTAAAGCTGATCAAATCAAGGATTGAGGTAACCTATTAATATTTATTATATATATAATATTAATCAACATATTATGACAGTATTTATAGAGATATAATCAGCATATTAATATTTTTATAATGGTTGGGGAGTCATTAATACATTCTTGAATTGGATAGTTTGAAAGAATTATAAAAAAATGTTTGATAAGATATCAAAATAAAAATATTGATGTATACATTTGAAGATAATTTATTCTCAGATTTATTTTATTATTAGTTTTTTATTTAAAAAAGTTTCATTTATTTAAAAAAGACTTCAGATGTAAATCATTAAGTAATTAATAGAATAAATTAGAATAAGATCACTGAAAATGAAAGTTAAAGATCGAAATGTATGTATTAATATTAATAAATTATTGTTATATTTGATATAAAGTTTCGCAAATAACATCCCGCGCGGTTCGAATAGTCTATCTGATAATTCACAATTATTGAATTAATATTCTTTAGAGCCTTCCCAGATAGCCAAATAAGGGCAATATATTGCCATTTTGCTGTCACTTATTCCGCATTCAATTTCACCAAACTAAAACCAAGGTGTTTCCACAAATTGTCTGTTGTTCTGATGTCACGTAAACTTCTTTAGAATTCAGCAAATTGCTGACAAGTTGTCATCATGCATGCATGGCCGTCAGTTTGCTGTCAGCGTGACGAATTTATTATTTCTCAATGTATACTCTTACAATTTCATAAACTCATGAAATCTATTTGTCCTCCTGATGCTAACACAGTTCACATTAGATTCCAATAACAGCAAATTATTGATAAGTTGAAAACAATATATACAGTACATCAATTTGTTCCATATGCTAAACCTCGCTTGGTTATCTGGGTTATTAGTACTATATTAGTACTATAATTGACAATAAAAGTAATCAAGAAGTATCTGAGTTATTAGTACTATAATTGAAAATAAAAATAATCAAGAAGGATCGTATAACATATATTACTTATATATTCATCATAAACACTTCTTTGAAACAATCTTCGTTGTCAGAGAAAATTGTGGTAGCAACTATAAAGGCTGATATTTGTATAAGTTTTTATGTAGAATTAATGCACATAGTTGAATAAATCATTTTAATTATAATAACTACAAAATAGTTTATTCAACTATAAGTATATTAATTCTACATATAATACTGTATATAATTATCCCTTTGGTTATATCCACTCTTTTTCTCTGAATATACTTATTTTACGTAAGATAACTTACTTTTGTTATCCACATTTTTGTTTAATAATAATTGTAAAGCTTTTAAAAATATATTTTATAGAAGAATGGTTCAGAAATGTAATAATCAAAAAGATTTTTTTTTGCTGTTAAAATTTCTAAATAGCATAAAACAAAAGATAATAATGCTTTTGATTCACGGGTATTTCTTTCAAAAATATCAGAAGATTTGTTTACTACCATCCATTGCTAATGACATTAGAAGAGAATAAAAAATAAAATGTTAACTGTTGCTATATTAGACTATATTAGGATCTACGCATGTCTTACGTCACTCGTTACATAATGAAATGAAAAATTTAATTCTTTTCTATTTTTGTTGAGTAGTACCGCAGATGAAGATAGATTGGACGGTGGAAGCGTAGATTACAACGGAAGTACGGATCGCTCAAGTACTTCTCCGTTACACGATCCGAGTATTCATAACGAGGGCAGATTGGACAGGCGAAAGGGCGATCATGGAGATGAGAATCTGCCCCTATCGAGCGAGGACATGCCTGATCACTATATCTATGTCTCGTACCCGCCCGAACTAAAGCGGCGACTTCTGGAGAGGTATATCGACTCGCGCGAAAGTGTAGCCATGAAATATATCCTACGTTAATTATATACAGTGATCCTCCTACTTACAGCTGCTACAATAGGACCACACGTCTGTAAATTAGGAAGGAAGTGATGAAATTAAAATTTTATTCGAGATCTGCACAAGGAAAGGTATTCGAGGCTGAACTCCTCACTCTCATTTTTCTCGTTATCTTCGTGTTTTGTATACCGAATGTGAATAAATGCATCGTGGACATGACATCAACTGCTCGTTCCATTTCTCTTTATTCTCTTATCTTCTGAAAACGCTGAATCATCAATCATGAAAAAAACTAAGATAGGTATGTGTCCAATATATATGATTATGATAATTATAATTTGTATTAGATCGAAAATAATTCAATTAAGAGAAATAACGTTATTTTTTATGACAAACGGGTCTTGCCTACCTAAATATTTTAGTATGAGTTTATACAAATATCCAATTTTGCAAATTTTGGCATGCGCCAAAATATTTTTCAGTTTTGAATATTATTGAATATGTTTTGAATATTATGAACAAAACTACAGTAGCAATATTATGTTGACAAACAATTTAACAATAATATTTTTTTATGATTATCTTTTTAAGTTATCTTTTTAATTATTGATAAAAATATCAATTTAATATTTGTAAGAAACTTAAAAACTGCGAATAATTGCGGGAATTAATATTACTTTAAGCAAGACTCGAATCGCTATTATGATAATGACCCGGATCTTTATTTATTATGATAATAGTTAGTAATAGTAGTGGACTTTCATCCTTGATTGTGATAATTAAATATTTTTTTCGATATTATTTGGCAGATTTTATATTTTATTATATTTTATGATATTTTTATGTCGAGAATAGAGCTAATTAAAAT